TTCCTATAAGTGGTACATATATCTCAAGAACCAATAGATATATCCCAGAATCCTAATCTTTTTGGATTTCTATTTTCTTTAGGAAACTTATTAATATCAATCACAATCCTACATAATTTCTTTATATTTGGATATCACCATATCCAACAGAGTTTAGGGTATATTTGATGTGAAGCCCCCTCTACCACAAACCACAGATTTTTTACTTTTTTCTTCTTATTTTTGGGGAAATCATTGGGGAAGACATGCCCCTATCTATTTTTCACGTAGATTAAGAGTTAGTTTTTGAAGGCGTTAGTGGTGGGAATGAAAACCACAATGTGGTCACTAAGATGTGGGGGTGCTACCACCACGACGTCAGCGGTGGTAACGTGGAGTAAGGAATGTTCCCCTTGAGTATGGAATGTCGAACTGTTTTGAAGGCTTACTATGCTCCCACAACCAACACGGAAGTTGTTTTGGTGGAACTTGGGTCTCCCACTGCCCAAAAGTTCCTGCACTTAGAGAATGTATTGCCTACATAAACAGGTATGACTTTTGAAGCAAATGTTTGAGCTGCAATATGGATGTGATGTGCAGCCGTCTCTCATTAGAACACTAAAATGGACACTAAAATGAATGAGAAGAAGATGGAATGAATGAAGCATTGGAATATGCAAGTGACAAAGGTGGAGCTACCAGACCATGGATGAATCCAAATAAAAAAAAATGGTAAAACATGGCTAAGACCTAAAGAATGGATTCCCTTTTAAGTGAAGTAGTAATAGTATTATACTTCTAATATGGAAATAAAGCTTCAAAGTAACGGTATAAGCATTTCGAGCAACCGACGCCTACACAAAACAACTGCGAATATTGGTTCAAAAGGGAAAAAAAATAATCAAATATAATGGATACTACAATGGATATAACAGATTTTTACTTATTAATATATGGAAAAAATAATGAGTTTGTTAGGATTTAAGAGCCTCTTAGATGGGGAAACAGGAATCCCATCAAGATCATGTACTTATCCAGCTTGAAATAAAATAGGAGAGAGCACGAGCCATAATACGAGAAATAAAACATGAAACATACGCAACAAGAAAACAAAGATTAATGTAGTTTACCCCAAGAGGGCCATATCCACGGGTACGGCAAACTCAAATCCACCATACCAATTAAAGTGTCATCATAGATTTTGGGACAAAGAGTTACCTATCTAACCCTCGGCAAATCCCAGTCAAGCATTCCCTTCTAGACCTTCTCCCCAAACCAACAAGACCTGCTAATCTCTCGTCTATATTCCACAGCCAAATCATTGTCCAGGAAGAGGTCATCTCTATTCCACAACTAAACCACTGTCCACGAAGAGATCCTTCTTTATTCTACAGCTAAACTGCTATCAAGGAAGAGACCATTGAGAGCAACCGAGACCTTCTCTCACTAAAAGGGGAAAACCACACAAAATCTTCATGGGAACTGCTTCTCTACAAAAAACCAGTCTCTCAATCTACAGGAGACACATCTGTAGTGTTTATCTCCAAATGAAGCTCTCTTCTCTGCAAGGAATAAGAAACACATATGTTGTGTTTATCTCCATAGAAAAACATCTTCTCTCTAAAGGGGGGCCTTGCCTCTCATGCATACGAGGCCCCTCCCTCTCCCTATAAAGGAAGTCACTTTTTCCATATAGTGACCCAAATAGGTCACACCTATTCTTTCCTCTTTCATCCTATATATATATTAGAATAGGAGACCACGCTAAACAGGAAACTTCCTATAAGTGGTACATATATCTCAAGAACCAATAGATATATATCAGAATCCTAATCTTTTTGAATTTCTATTTTCTTTAGGAAACTTACTAATATCAATCACAATCCCACATAATTTCTTTATATGAGTGATTTTTATATCACCATATCCAACAGCGTTTAGGGTATATTTGATGTGAAGCCCCCTCTACCACAAACAGTAGATTTTTTACTTTTTTCTTCTTTTTTTTTGGGAATTCAATGGGGAAGACATGCCCCTATCTATTTTTCAAGTAGATTAAGATTCAGTTTTTTGAAGGTGTTAGTGGTGGGAATGAAAACCACAATGTGGTCACTAAGATGTGGGGGTGCTACCAAGAGAGCTATATCCACGAGTACGACAAACTCAAATCCACCATACCAATTAAAGTTTCATCATAGATTTTGGGACAAAGAGTTACCTATCTAACCCTCGGCAAAACCAAGCCAAGCAACCCTTCTAGACCCGCTCTCCCGACCAAAACGACCTACTAATATCTCATCTCTATTCCACAGCTAAATTATTGTCTAGGAAGATGTAATCTCTATTCCATGACTAAACTACTGTCCACGAAGAGATCCATCTCTTTCTATAGCTAAACCGCTACCAAGGAAGTGACTATTGAGAACAACTGAGTCTTTCTCGCATTAAAAAGGGGAAACCACCCAAAATCTTCATGGGAACTGCTTCTCTACAAGAAACCAGCCTCTTAATCTACATGAGTTACAACTGTAGTGTTTATCTCCATATGAAGCTCTCT